AGGGCCCCACCTGTCTGTCCTGCCCCCACCCCAACCCCGGGGTCGCCTACACAGTCAGAGACCCACGTCTCTTGGGGGTTTAATATATTTGTATTGGTTTCAGAGAGGAAGGGAGAGGGGGAGAGAGAGAGAGAAACATCAATGATGAGAATCGCTGATGGGCTGCCTCCTGCACGCCCCACACTGGGGATGGAGCCGCAACCCGGGCATGTGCCCTGACGGAATGGGACCATGACCTCCTGGTTCACAGGTGGATGCTCAACCACTGAGCCACCCCGGCCGGGCCAGGGACACAGCCTGGACCCGGACTCCCAGCAGGTGGGAGCAGGCGGCCCCCGGAGTTCCTGAACAGACCACCACCCCTGCTACTGCTGCTAACACCCAACCTGCATTGGGGCTCAGGGCAGCCTGAGAAGCAGGGCTGTCATTTGATTTCATTTTCCCAACAATTTCCCAACAGCTCAGGGAGGGCACTGTTAGTCCCCATCGGACAGAGCGGGACGCTGCCTCCTTGGAGAGGCTGGAGCCTGCGCACATGGGTGTGAACGTGGTGCTGCCTGAGCCCAGAGCCTGCGCGGACCTCCTCCTAGGATGCCAGCCTCACCCGCTTACTGATGAGGAAACTGAGGCACAGCCGGTGGGCAGGCCTCTGTGCGGCCACTACTGTGCCCTGCCCACTGCATCTCGGCGGCAGGCGCTGAGGGCACCCTGAGGTCACTGCAATGGATTGTCTGAGGTCTAGACCAGCCCCTGGGGGATCCTTCCATTTTTATTTTGCTCCCAGTTAAATCCAGCCTGTTGGCAGGAGGTGGTGGTGCTGGGCATGTCACTGCTTCTCTTCCAGACTGGTAGGAAAGTGCTCCTACGGCTTTTTTGGTGAAAAAGAAAAGGCCCTTCTAAATACAGAAACAAATAAAAGATTCTCCAGGATTAGGCACCAGAGGGGGGACAGGTGAGTGTCTGGGTCCTTCTCTCCTGAAGACACCTGCCCAAGTGTATGTTCAGGAGGGATGGCATTTTGCCCATCGTTCCCCATCATTCACCCCAGGACTGGGTCACGGGATTTCTGTGTCTGGTGCACCCCGAGTTTCCACAGCCTTGCAGCTGGAAGGCAAGGATCATTTGAGGACTGTGACAGGAGATAAGCAGAAACTGGAATCCCAGCTCTACAGCCTACTGACTCTCAACAAGACACCTTGCTCTCCCGGCCCCGGTGTCCTCATCTGTACATGGGAAACTTCACCCCTGCCAGGTCTCTGTACGGACCACAGATCACGGAGAGCCGACCAGAGTAGGTGTCCATCACCCCGTCCCCAAGGCTCCAGGCCTGTCCCTGGACTCGGCACCCTGGGCCGTTGTCAGGGGGACCCCCCTGCTCCTGCCCCTCTGCCCAGGCGCCCGCTCACATGTGGGTCTCGTGCCCAGCGGCACCAGCTTCTTTCTCAATCCCAGCTCTGCATGTGTTTGCTTCATGGCAGGCACATTGCTAAGCATTTCACATGTCCTCTCCAGAGCCCTCCTGCGAGGTCCGAGTCCTTAGCTCCATTCTACTGGTAAGGAAACTGCGGCTCAGAGAGCAGCCTGCCCCAGGTTCCACAGCAGGTGATGGCAATGCCAGGGCTCCAGCTGGGGCATCTGGCTCCGGCCTGAGTGCCTTCCTCTAGCTCAGGCTGCCTCATGGAGCCCGTTGCCAGCACATTGCTCCGGCCCGTGTCCACTCCTTTCTGCGGTCAGCACAGAGGTGGGCGACTGTGGCCCTGAGCCATGTCTCTATTACTGATATCCCCAGACGGGGCAGAGCTCTCCCCTTCCTGTCCTTATTAATTGCACAGGAGCCTCCTGAGAAAATCAGTCCTCTCCATCCCCCCCACCCCCCCCACC